GTTTCACATTTATTTTCACTCAATTTGGCAGGTCAAGATTATTCTTACCGATTCAATTGGTATAAATTCCATTGGAACGAAGTCTCTAACTAACTGATGACCCAACATATCATTCGATGGATTGAATTCCGCGTGGAACCAAGTCGTGTGCGATTCAAATGTTGAATAAGTGCGAATAAAAAGCAAAACAATGGATCGAAAGAAATGTGGTATATTTATTTGTGTTTTTTTCCCTTATTTCTATCTTAATTTCTTTCTATTTTGTTCTCTTTCTTTTTTTCCACTTTATATCGCTGTCATACATTTCGATTACGTAAACATAACAGAAGCAAGCAAGCAAACAAGCAAAGGACAAAACGAAAAAGTTGGTTGTTCTCAACAATCCCGATAAACAAGCGTATTCACCGATGACGCATCTAATTTTAGCTTAATTTGACTTTTATTCTTATCAATCACCGTAATCCGTTCGGGCGCTGTGCTTCAGTTGTGCATGATTATAATTTTTGTATAATTAGCACACAACTCTTAAACGACTAACTAAACTAAGATTAGCGCTGATCCGTGTACAATCGGATTGAAGAAATTTGGAGAAATGTGCGATACCATAAAATACGGGCTGTTTGTAGAGTGTTTGATTTGTGACATCAAAAATGATAGCCGCATCGACAAAATTCCCAAAAACATTTGGTCCACTTTGTGTGTCCAGCACTAAATTCCAATCGATATTTCCGCTGAGGCCATGATTGAAATTTTTGATAAATCGTTTGATATAGGCTTGGCCCCGTTTCCATGAGCCTAAAATTGGGCCACGTTCCATATCCTTAGGATTGAGTTAGGCACCTTCACAGCCTTCAGTGTATATGATTGGGATTTGATATCGTTGTAAATTTACATCGATTAAATGAATATCGACTAAATCCTCAAAGTACCAATGAATGCCAATCATATCAATATACGCTAAACGATGATCGCTTGCATTTCGTTGAAATGTATACCAAAATGACGGAAGAATGGCTCTTATATCGTCAAGACCTAAAATGTTAACATTTTTGAATCCACTCTGATTGATCATCGGTCGCAAGTAATCGGTAATCCATCGTCGCTGGTCCAATAGATTCCATCCGAGATTTGGGATACCCGTTACGAGTGATGCTGACAACAGTTCATTGTCCGTAGATATAGACCATGTGTCAATGCCTTAATTTTGCCATAAACTCAACACTTTGACGTGATTATAAGGCATATGTGAAATTATATTTGTCAAATAAATGATTTCGATCCGTCCACAATCCGTTCGACTTTATCCATGGCGGTGGGCTCCATATGCAAAACATAATATTTGGCTTGAAATCGGGCGCAAAACGTTTCATTTCTTTGATTTGATCGGCACGTATTCGATCGAACGGATGAAGTTCCGTTATGTTTCTCAGCAGAATGTCATGTTCCGGTTGTTCGTTGTAGCCCCACATATATGGACTGAAATCCGATGCACCAATCGGTATGTGAAGTATTTGATAGGCTGCGCCCATTGTGGGTGATAGATAGCTTTCGTAAAGGTGTTCACGCACCGTTTGCGTCATAGTGGTCAAAACGTGCGAAACTGTATCTGTAACTGCACCACCGAATCCCACTATGAGAGAGAAAGAGAGAACGTATATGAAGAATACAAAAAAAATGCAACTCATTCAATTACAAACCTATGTTCTGGTATTTGCGGCTTTCATCGATTTCCAACCAACGATTTGATCCATCGGACATATTTGATGCGATCAAATCGCCCAGTGTCATATCAAAACGTTTGCCCGCTTTCGACGATGTGACCAGTATATATTCACCACAATTGGGTTGTGGAACATCCAAAGTATCACAATAGGTTTCGTTGCATAAACAAATACCACCATCACTAGTGCTTTGATAATTGCATGGTTTCGATGTACCCATGGCATTTGTCATCAAAGCATAAATTGTACAAAGTAACAGAACCACCACCGATGACCACTTCATTTTCACATTGAATTCCAGTCCGTTTGAATGAACGAAGCAAACGGCCCCAAAAACACCCGATTTAATTTTAACAGCAAATGCCTTTATCTGTGGAACACTGTTCACGCAACAAGATGCCAATTTGTTTTGAGTTCTTGTATCACTTTGCACAATTATTTCAATGTAAACAAATTGGTTTATGGGCCGTTCCGAGGAAAACTATAAACACATATCCAATGGCTGATAACAATGGTTGTGATGAATAAACAAACATTTCACATCAAAAACTAAATATACTTGAGTTCTGAGCACAGCTGTAACAACAATGAAAAAACCAAACGTGGAATGCTTTGTATACTGATACATGTATTTGCTTGGAACTCAGTTGACCGAAGCGCCATCTATAGAACCGATGGCGAATTCGTTATGTCTGTATGTTATACTTCAGTATGACGTTTGACAGAACGGAGAGTGTACTTGATTGTATTGTCATTAGCCTTAGATTATCTAGGTGGTGTTTGCGCTCAATATCAGTTGTCAAAGTAAAAAAGAATAGGACCGTTGGAAAAACACATCATAATTTTTTTTATGTTCCTATTATACTATATAGTATTGAAAAGAGATTACCCAAAAACATCATGCACCTTCTATTCATTCTTTTCTTTCCTCCTTCCTTTCTTTCTTTCTTATCTCGTCTGAAATGGTCAGCCACGAAAGAAGGAAGAGACGATTGCGCGCATTGTTTGTAGAACGATGAGGCCAAAAAAGAAAGCAAAGTATTTACTGCAAAAAGCTTTTCAGACAACATAAATCAAAATTGATGTGAAATTCTATTCAGTCTTGGCATTTAAAGATCGACTTATCTCAATTTGCTAGAACATGGATTCTGTTGGTGGGATTTTTTTCCCGTCTTCTCTTTTTTCCGCCGCCGGAATATGCAATAATTTTAATTGAGAAAACATGAAGAATGAGGCACATTTGTGTATGAATTCGTTTTCCATTCCGTTTCATTTCTGAATTTTTGCATTGATGTTGTATGTATTTAGCTTACCGTGATGAGATTCGACTCAGGAAAATCCACAATAAAATTTCCAAAGAAATATGACGGCTGAGACGAAGAGATTCGAATCGTTAAACGGAACGATTACGATGCTAACGGCATATGCAACGACCGCGAAGCGAAATGATAAAGAAAACAGCTGAAGACTGAACCATTGAACTTCATCGTCTACACATTGACGGTGAAAATGAAAGAGCAATTCATTCGGCCCACACTGTCTCTTGTATGATGATTTTTCGCTCAACAAATCTGCTTTCCATTTGGTTTTCACTAGAACAGATTTCTTTTTGTTTCCTTTGCATCGTTTTTCTCTTGTTTGTGCATCGATTCTTGCTTGCTCGTCTTTTTGCTTCATATAAACATGTCTGTGAATTTTTATTCAAATTCTTGTTACCATTTTGTTCAATGGATGTGGTGCGGTTCGTTCGTTCGTTCTTGTTCTTCTACTACATTTAGTTCTTGTGTTATCCTTTGTGATATGGAAAGAAATTGTGGCCAATGGGAAAATAAAACAAGGCACAGTACATTCAAATGCTCCGGTGTATTTTCTAGTAAAAGCAACATGAATGTAAAATTCACCTCGCCATTGTTGTTTTCTTTTGCTGTACTGTTATGTGCTTCAATTCCGTAAAAATTGCGACAGCAACGACGACGACGACAATGAAAACAACAACATGCGTCTTCACTCAGTCTTATTTTCATATGGTGTGTTTCTTCACTACTCATTTTCCGTTCAAATTCAAGACATCAACAAACAACTGTTCGCATTCTGTTTTCGGGCACAATTTTCATTCCACTATAACATGGCTAATTTAAGTTTTTGTTAGAGCTATGTTGCTGGAACACAACGTTTTGCTACCATACTGGTTGTTCGATTTCGTTTCTATTGTTGTTTGTTTTCTCTATCTTTTCAAACAAATATGTTCTTGTTCTCGAGGATGATTTGATGGATGTTCACAAAGAGAAATGCATACATTTGTTTTGAGTGTTTTTTTTTCATGTTCTTGGCTGGACAACGACATTGTACAAACATTAAAGATTCAGCGAAGCGGAAGATTATGGTGAGGAAATCATTTCATAACAAAACGTTCCTCATACCTCAAGGATTAACTGGAACACTCCCACTTGCTTCGAAATGAACGGAAATTCATTGAGACCGAAAAAAAACGGTTGACAGTAGAATGGCAAGCGAAAAAAAAAACGAAAGAATGCGACCAGGCGAATATAAGCAGTGAGAGTTAAGTGAAATGCAAACAGATCCTTGAATTCGCAAGAAATTACGATTGTGTCAACAAGATGAAATTACTTCAATCTAACTTAGTTTTCATAATAAATGCTATTCACTCGTACCACTTGGTTCGAATGGCTTGCTCTCGGTCACTTTTTTTTTTCCATTGGAGATTCTTTCCTTCGTCGGTATCTGTTTCTGTTGAAATACAGAGGGTCACGTCGCGGAAATGAAGCAAACACATTTTATGCTTTCCGCGCGGAATTTTCGCTGCTTTCTTTTCTTCATTCTTTCAACTACTTCTTCTTCGTCTTCTTTTTTTGTGCTGTTGTTTTGCGTCACAACAAAAGATGACGTCGAAGCTTGATGCAACCAAATAAGATAAACGAAAATGCTATCAAATTAGTGTCAAGCACAATAATTTAATCGAAAACTTTCTAAATGACAAAAGGTAGAACGAAGATAGTTGGTGTTCGTGTGTGTGTGTGTGTTTGTGTACCATCACAATTCTATTACAAAAACTTCACCTAGTCCAAAATGAGAAACGCTGTCAACAAAATAAATCAATGCTTAACTTGACTTTACTGCTTCATGGTCGTTTTATTTCTTGTTGCTGGCTTTGTTCACAATCAACATCACCGAACCATTTCACATTGATGGTGTGCCTTGTGTATTTAATGCGAACGTGAACTGCACTGAATCTCTTTTACCCAATTAGTGGCACATAAACTGTGTGAACTTAGTGTGCAATCATTCTTCTAAGCTCATGATGTTGTGTACTTAATCCTGTGAACAGTGAATTTCAAATTATGCAAATGAGCGCCAGAGCAAAATTCGAGTGTGTGGAAGCATGAGCGCGCGTATGACAAAAGAACAATGCGCTGCAAACTATCTGCTGTTTGAAAGGAACTTCCTTACACCATGATCGCTCTTTGAAAGTGATAGCTCAACACAATTTAAATATTGAAGAGAGAAAACACAATCACCAACAAGAAAAAACTTGCATTCCTATACCGCTTTATTTTGTGCGTGCCTCAAGAAGTAGTAAACTACAGCATATTGTGTTGTAGTGTCGAATAAAATTAAACTGAGTTACTTTTTCGACGAGTCACCCAATGCTAATCGTTAAGTGTGCGTGTGTGTGTTCTTTTTTTGAAGTCATAAAATAACCCTTTTCAAGCGAAAATACAATGAAAATGGCATATTAGGTTGACGCCCAAATATAAAATTCAATTCTGAGCGCTCGTTTTGTTCACAAATTCTAAAGAAATAATAAAATCGTTGCTTTTTTTGCTTGTTTTATTGGAAAAGCAAATCTTAAAACTCGAATTGTGTGTACTCGGCACTCACAATGATCGGATGAGATGAAAATCAGGCATAAGAACAGTCCCACCATCACCCATTTGCACATACTAAATCACTGACTTTTTGATTTACACATTGAATCAGGGCACTTGTTAGCTGTTAACGATATTCGCTTACGGTTTTCGGCCGTATTTCCTCTACACTGTGACCCAGTAGCAGAACTAGTATCAAACGGGCTATAAAAGCTCAATTAATGATTAAGTTATTGCTTTTTAACCATTAATTTTATTCAAATCTTTATGCTCTTGATATTTGTTCATGATATAATCAATAAATTTTCGATGAAGCTGTTTTTTGTATGATTGCTTCTGGATTTGATCTCGTTTCACCAATTCGGCAACCATAAAACAATGGTATCTCACACACACGCACACAAAATGATGATTCACAACGACTAATTGTAGAATATATTATGTCGAAAACACATTTGCGGTGTGTATTTTGTGTAACTGTGCTTATACGCGTGGGTTAAAAAGCATTTATTTTCATTTGATTCTACTTTTGTGCCAAAAATTATGCGTTTTGGATAATGATTCGATGATTATGCGGCGCTTAAATCCCATAAGCACATTATAATAATTAATCAAATTAGTTTCTTTAATAAATTTCAATTGCCCATGTATTTTTCATTTATTTCCTCTGTTTTCTCTTTCTCCCTCTTTGCAGTTAGTCTGTGATAATCGTGAATGCAACCACAACAACAACAACGACTACGACGACAACGGCAGCGATCGGGTGGCAGCTAAAAAAGCGCGGAATGGATGAAACCAAACCAGAAACAAATGATTGCAGTTTTTGGTATTTCAACGAATCGAATTTCAGCACACACAGACAACGCATATGAATTATCTTGAATGCAAGACCACATTTTCAAAATGAATTTTACAAATATGGCAATCAACCACAGTATTATCAATAATGCGATTGATTTGATCGGCGGTAATAGCGGCGTTAGCAACAGCAGTGTGGGCAGTAGTTTCGGTGGCAATGCTAGTAGCAGCAACTATTTGGAGTCAAGCAGTGAAATTCCAAATGCATTTACATCGACCATTGTTTCGAGTGCCATGCACTTTCGAAATTCATTCGATGTGACGCGCAATGGGACGCATCTCATCGATTTGAAGAATATCAACATTACCGATGAAGATATACATGATTTTGCGAAAAAATTAGCCGAACTGAATAAATACAATTTGAGCAGTGAAAATGAAGCGTTTGCATGCGAGCATTATTGCAATGGATTTGTCAGGGATATATTCAGTTCGTACAAGCAGATGCACGGTTACATATCACTTGCGGTGAATATTAACTTTTCAGCAATTTTCCTTGATTTGATCATTTTAAACCCATTGAACCATTGTTTGATGTGGCACATCGTTTTGTGTATATGATTAGTTCAAAATTGTTTCGATTGCTTTTCTCTTTTTCTGTTTTGGTTTTTCTTCTCTGTCCTGGCAGATTTGCATTTTCGGAACGATTGCAAACATACTGAATATCATTGTGTTGACGCGAAAGGACATGAGTAAAACACCCATAAACACAATATTGAAATGGTTAGCTGTGGCCGATATGTTCCTCATGATCGAGTATATACCATTTTCCATTTACAGGTACATCGGACCAAGTGAGTTCCATTCAATGCTTTACTAAAACACATCAAAAAAGGATATGCATCGATTTTGCTGTGAAAATGTATTTGCTAATTTAATTTTTCTCTCGTTCTCTCTTTTTTCCCATTTTTCCCATTTCCCAAATGCAATGCCAGAGCCAGGCGGCCAACTAAAATATTCATGGTCGGTGTACATTCTGTTTCACATGCATTTCACACAAATATTGCATACCATTTCGATATCATTGACAGTGATTTTGGCACTGTGGCGCTACATTGCAATCAAGTAAGTAGATGGATTTTAAATGAATTTTCTATACATTTTGGTATTCATTGACAGCATGTTGTAATCAGGCAGATGCGGAGCGTGAATACACACACGCCTGTCTATCTCGTGGTTCACATCGGAATTTTACCATGATTGCCATTGGGCGTGTGCGTGTATGTGTGTTTGTATATCGCTCCAATAAGGGGGATAATTTAATTACTCGGTAGTTGTTTTTAGTACCACCAAAAGCAACAAAGTCAATAAAATTGCTGACAAATGCGCTAGTTCGCAAATCCAGATTTTACATGACATTCGATGTGGTTTTACACTCACACGGCCCGAGCACGAGCACAAGCACAAACCAAAGCCTCTCTCTCTCTCTCTCTCTCTCTCTCTCTCTCTCTCTCTCTCTCTC